TGAACCAGCCAAATCAGCTGCCCCCGCTACTAAAGGCCTTAAACCCCTGCAAAGGGGAGGTGCGAAGCGACGAAGGGTGGAAACTGACTCTGAAGAGGAGTCTGAACCCACCCCAAATCGACTAACGCATTTTAAGGTACCAAAAAAGCCTGAAGACTTCGACAATGCCTACCAACTGGTTAGGGCATTGGAAATGGAAAGGCAGGTCAGACTCTCAATTCGAATCGCTAGAGATGAGGGCATGATTATTGTCCCCAATGATAAAGCCACCCTGAACTTCCGCAGGAAATCAAGGTGCTAAATGATGGGAGAAAAGTGTGTATCTCGCCACTGACCTCCCTAGAGAAAAGGACCAAGATGGTGCTACTTGGTTACCCACTAGGGTTTGACATGGAGGTGATCACGTCTCTCCCACAAGTGGAGGCTTCCCGCATGACCAAAGGGAAGTCTCCAACCAGGCAAGGCCTGGTCACCCTCAAGGGAGCCCCAATCACCACCCTTGATCTGGGTAACTGGGGCTCGTACAAGCTCAGGACATATGTGCCAGAGCCCTTGAGGTGCTTTACGTGCCATAAATTTGGGCATCACCAGGCCAACTGCAAGGCCAAAGCTATATGTGGTGTGTGCAGCAAGGCACATAAAACAGAAGTGTGCATCAAGGCATACAAAGATGGCCAGAAGGACACAACAGCCAAGTGTCCAAACTGTGCCAAGAAGCATCATGCCTAGAGCCTGGCTTGCTCTGCCAGTAAACAGCCAGTCATTAAAAAGCAAGAGTAAGCCAAAAAGCATCCTGACTTTGTCCCAGCGCCCCCCGGCACCTATGTCTGGGGACAAAATAAAAGGGAAAGGACTCCCCGACCTCCTAAGAGGAAGGAGACACCTCCTCAACCAAAGCCGGATACTTCCAACAAAGAGGAATTCCCCAGGCTTGCTAGTGGCAAGAAACAGAACCCAAGGGAAAAAGGTTCAAAGGCCACAACAAAGGACCCCCAGTAGACGATAATCTTGTCTTTGACAAGAAGGATATGGCTCTCCTGTCGAGTGCTGTAGTTTCTGCAGTAGCAACAGCCTTGGGGAGGACCAGTGAGGAGGCGGAGAAGGCAGTCCAGGTCGCCATGACGGCTATGACCCAAACTGTTGCAGCTCTGAAGGGAAGGAAGCTAGAAGCCTCGAAACCGAAAAAGAGCAGCACTCCCCTTCATAAATCCTCGAATGGCAGGCTAGCTTCGGGAGAAGCATCATGTGAAACCCCAGCTAGTCTGTCAGGACAGATTGAAACTGTGCAGCAGAAGCCCCCACTGCAGGCCGAGTCTGTACAGTCAAAGTCTGATCCCCTGACTCGAGGTGGCACTTCCAACCTAGGCTCTACACCTCTCGGTAGACCCTTAACCGGAGTGTCTCACTTAAAGGAAGTTGTACGATCCTCAATCAACGAGGATCTATATTTATCAGATACCACACCACTGGTGCATCTGAAGCTGAAGTGACACTGAGTAACCATCATGGCACACAATCTAAGCATTCTGCAGTGGAATATCTGCAGCTATGAAAGCAAGAACTCCTTTCTCCAGTCAATAGTGCGAGCAAGGAGCATTAACGTCGTCATGCTCCAGGGACACCAACTATGGGATCTGTGCGCTTCTCAGGCTATCATGTCTTTCCTGTGAGATTCAGCTGCCTGGGGGTCCTTTAAAAATATATAATGTATATAGCAAACCACTGTGTGAGAACTTAGATTTAAACAAGGTCTGTGCTACCGCAGCACAAGACCGAGTGATCATAGGGGGAGACTTCGATGCACACATATCCATGCTGAATCCCTGCAAAATGCCGAACACGGCAGGCATTCATATAGCAGAAGTGCTTGAGACGCTCCCTGAGATCACTCTTCTCAACACCAAAGAACCAATGCACGTGAGGGGAGGGGTCCTAGACCTTATCTTTGCCACGGCAATAATGGTGGAGAGAATTCGGTGTTGTGTTGATGATACGGTTACCAGTGATTACTACGGCATAGTCACCACCCTAATGGATGCAGGTCCAGCCCAAAGACCACATCACATTCCTAAATGGAAAACAGACAAGGCCAACTGGTTTGCCTTCCAGCAAGGCTTGGCTCGATGTCTGAGAGACAATGAACCCAACAATAATGAAAATGTGGATGTGCTAGAGGCAAGGCTAATCCAGGCCATAAATCAGGCAGCCTCACAAACCATCCCAAAACTCGCCCATGGTCCAGAACTCACAAAGACGCCTGGTACTATAATGACGAGATCAAAGAGGTCAACCACAGGGTCAGTATGTGCAGAAAAGTATTTCCGACGGCAAAGAACTCCCGACAATCTGGCCTGTTGAGGGAAGCTGTTTGGATGCCAAGGAAACTGCCAATAGAGTAAGGCAGGAAAAATGGCTGGAATGGTGCCGGACTTACAGAGTTGTGGAAACGGGTCAGGCAAGCGATAAGCCGCCAAGCCCCGAAATGCACTCATCATGATCCACAGTCAGAGGCTAACAGATTGGTGCTTGAGTTCTCAGCTAGAACCAGCAACAACAACCTGCCTCCAGTGATGAGGGAAAAAACAACAAAACTTAAATCCAGGAAGACTTGCTCTCATCAGAGACAAGGCACTCGAATCCGATAACACGGATGCCTTGTCTCTCTTGGGGAACTAAGAAAGTTATACAAACCAGCTCTGGATCAGCACCGGGATCTGATGGGATCTCCCACCCCATCATTTCGCATTTAGGTCTGGCAGGAGAACTTACATTCTTGCAGGTTATCAACAAATCCTGGCCATCTGCCACGGTGCCCAGAGCTGGAAACAAGCCACAATAGTTCCCATCCCAAAACCAAAGGAGCCTGGCAAGTACCGTCCCATCTCTCCTTTTCTTAGCTGCCTGGGTAAAACAGCTGAGAAGATTGTACTCAACAGGCTCCAATAGAAGACGGGACCCCCTCATGAACACCTGCACGGGTTCACAAGGGTTAAGAGCACTGCACACAGCATTTCCACACTCTTAAGCACAATCTGCACCTCGCCCGCCATGGTTGTCTTCCTAGACCTGGAGAAGGCTTTTGAATTGGCGAGCCCGCTTGCCATTCAAGAGACCCTAATCCACAAAGGAGTCAAAGGCAGACTCTTGGCCTGGATAGCTGATTATTTTTAAAAATAGGTCAGCAAATGTCAGATTTCAAGGCCACCTCTCACAGCACATAGCACTTGAAAATGCAACTCCTGGACTGAGGTGTTCTCAGTCCAGCCCTGTTCAATACCCTCATGTCCAACATCCTCGACATTCACCTGCCAGAGGGATGCAAGATCATCTCTTATGCTGATGACTTTGCAATCATAGCCTCTGGCAATCACTGCCTAACTAGAGCTCAGCGTTGTCTGAACCTGGTGTCTGAAGTGTTGTAGGACGGGTCTAAAAATATCAGCAGCAAAATCCAAAGCAATGGCTCTTGAGAACTAATGTCAGAAACAAAACACTCACTGTGCAGGGTATGGATCTGGAATGGGTTAAGGGCCATCTATACCTTGGTGTATGGATAGGACACACACACACTTTCAAAAAGGAGATCGAATACCTGCTAGACAGAACCAAGAAAAGACTGTCAGTCATGAAAGTCATGACAGGGAGACACATAGGAGCAGGACACAAAGTACTAAGATCATTCTATGTACATGCTCTCCGTCCTTCTATGTACATGCTGTCCATCCTATTATTGACTATGCATCTGTCGCCCTCATTGCTTCCAGCACAACATTAAAAGAAAAACGAAACAATACAAAACGAAGCAGCCAGGATCATTCTAGGTGCGCCCAAGTGGACAAAGGTCATCAACCTCCTCATGGAAGCTGATTTGCCATCCATGGACACCAGAATTGATCTAATGGCAGCACAGTTCCTTTCTAAGCGTCCT